CAGCGGGTTTGTCACCCATTTTGGCCCCAATTTGGGGCATTTTGGGTCCTCCTGGGCTCTTCCATCCTGGTTGGAGGGGGGGCAGTCAGAGTCTACTTTGGGGGGTCCCTGTCCCCATTTGGGCGTCATTGTCCCCATGAGGGGGAGGGGTCACAGTCTGTTTGGGGGGGTCCCTGTCCCCACGGCCCCCCCTTTGTGCCCCCCCAGATGATCATCGAGCCCACGAGCCCGAAGCTGCTGCCGGACCCGCTGAAGGAGCCCTATTACCAACCCCCCTACACGCTGGTCATCGAGCTCACGGGGGTCCTGCTGCACCCTGAGTGGTCTGTGAGTATCCCCCCCAGCCCCCCAAAATACTCCCAGCCCCCCCCGAACCCAGATAAACCCCCCCTGAGCTCGAGGCCTGGGAGCGCTGCGGCCTCAGCACCTTCCCCAAGAGTGGGTGCTACGCCCCAAAAACACCCCAAAAACATCCTGAGACACCCCAAAAATAGCCTGGAACTCCTGGAAAAAACTTGAACCCCCCCAAAGTACACCCAACCCTCCCCAAACCCCTTCCAAAACCCATCAAAACCCACTGAAACTCACCCAGATCTGTGAGCTCACCACTTTCCTCAGCTGTGAGTGTAACATCCCAAAACACCCCAAAAACACCCTGAAACCCTCTGAAACTTCTCAAGGAACCCCAAAATCCCTCAGCCCCCCCAAGAAATCACCCTTGAACCTCTTTCAACTTCCTCCCCCAAATAAAAACCCAAAACCTTCCCTCGAAATTCACCAGAAACGAACCAACCCTCACCCAAACCCCTCCAAAACCCTTCCAAACCCCCCGAAACCTTCCCAGCTGTTCCAAAACTCTCTGATTTCCCCCCAAAATTCAGCTGGTGACGGGCTGGAGGTTCAAGAAGCGCCCAGGCATCGAGCACCTGCTGCAGCAGCTGGCACCGCTCTACGAGATTGTCGTGTTCACCTCCGAGACCGGCATGGTCGGGGGGCTTGGGGGGTCTCTCAGGGGGTTTTTAAGGCTTTTGGGGTGGTTTTGGGGAGCTTCAGAGCTACTGGAGTCTCGTATTTGGGGTTTGGGGGGTTGGTGGGGGGGTTTTGATGCGGTTTGGTGGGGTTTGGGTGTATTTTGAGGGTTTCAGGGTGGGTTTGTGGTGTTTTGGGTTGGGTTTCGGGCCGGTTTGGGGCTGGTTTTGGGGTGTTTCAGAGCTCCTGGGGTCTCAGATTCTGGGGGGGGCGTTTTCCAGTGGGTCCTGATCTCCTGACCCTCCTCCCCTCCTCCCCAGACAGCCTTCCCCCTCATCGACAGCATCGACCCCCACGGCTTCGTGTCCTACCGGCTGTTCCGCGACGCCACGCGGTACATGGAGGGGCACCACGTCAAGGTGGGCTTCGGGGGAGCCCCCTGGGCCCTCCTGGGGGGGCTGATCCCGCAGTTCTGACCCCCCTCCCCCCCTTTCCCCCCAGGACATCTCGTGCCTGAACAGGGACCCCGCTCGGGTGGTGGTCGTGGATTGTCGGCGCGAGTCGTTCCGGCTGCAGCCCCACAACGGGCTGGGGCTGCCCCGCTGGGACGGGGCCTCGGAGGACAGGGCCCTCTACGACCTGGCCGCCTTCCTCAAGAGTGGGTGGTGTGACAGCCCCGCATCCCCCAAAAAAACCCGGCCTGGGAGTGCCCCAGAACGCCCCAAAAAGTGCCCCGAACCCCCTGCCCTGAACCCCCACAGAAATAGCGCCAGAAATGTCCCCCAAAATGCCGCCCAAAA